TGCTCCTGGCCCTCTGATGGTCCCCCAGCTTACTCAGAGGAGGCAGCTCCCAAGACCCTGCAGAGCTGGCCTGCTGCTCTCTGACCTTGGCTGTCTCAGGCCCTCTGGCCCCTCACTGTGCCTCAGGGCCTTTGCACGGGCCTTCCCTTCTTCCGGTCTCTGCACAAATGTCACCTTCCTAGGGAAGCCTTCCTCACCCCTTGCCCTGCTTTACCTTCTCTAGAATGGGTATCACCCCGCTAGAGCAGGAGTGGGCAAACGCGTCTATAAAGGGCCGGTGGGTAGACACTTTAGGTTCCACAGGCCACACGGCCTCTGTTGTGACCACTCGCCTTTGCCGTTATCATATAAAATAAGTTGGAGATGATACCCCTGGACAAGCCCTTACCTCTCTGACCTCAGTTTCCTTCCCTGACAAATGAGTTTGTGAAGATTAAGGACTGTGTTAGACTCCTGTGGCCACCATGACAAACCGCCACCAACTGGAGGGCTTAAGACAGCAGCTGGTCCTCTCTCACCATCTGGAGGCCAGAAGCCTGAAATCCAGGTGTCCGCAGGGCCGTGCTCCCTCCAGAGGCTCTAGGGGAAGACCCTTCCTCACCTCCTCCAGCGTCCGGGGGCTCCAGGCATTCCTTGGCTTGTGGCTGCCTCCCTCTGTTCTCTACTTCCAGTTTTGCATGGCCCTCTCCTCTTCTGTTATCAGACAATGTCATTGGATTTAGGGCCCACCTGGATAATCCAGGGTGACCTCCTCCTCCTTCTTTTCTTTTTTTGCCCTTGCCACGCGGCTTTGCGGGATCTTAGTTCCCTGACAAGGGGATGAACCCAGGCCCTGGGCAGTGAAAGCCTGGAGTCCTAACCACTGGACCGCCAGGGAATTCCGTATCATTCCCATTTTATGAAGGAGGAAACTGAGGCTCGCAGAAATGAGGTTCACCTGTGTCCTTCACACCCCAGCTGTCTCCGTAGAAACCAGGAACGCTACCTACTAAGCCTTTGCACTGCCCACCACCGCACACCGATGGCAGCCCTTCCTTGCCTGCTCCTGGTGCAAGATGCTGGGCACTGGTGCCACTGCAGGGAGAGGTCTGTGGGGATCCGAAGGATGGCCAGTCAGTGGACGTTCCCACTGCGCGCCTCCACTGAGCTGCCCTCGGGAGGACGCTTGAGGCTCAGAGGGCCCGGAAATGCTGGAGCTCAGGGCACACCTCTGACCACAGCGGCCAGGCCTGCCGGGCGGGAGGGCTCGCATGCCCAGAATAACTCACCAGAGTCAGCATGTTCCAGCTTGGGAGGGAAACCAAAGAGGCACTTTTCCCCAAGTGTCATGGGGTTGAGACGTCAACCACTGATGGGCCCTAAATGGAACCCAATTGAGGTCCTGTCCGCAGAAACGATTAGATCCGACAGGTGCTGAGCCCCGCCCTTGCTTCATTGTGATGGAACTCACATCTGAGCAATGAACTGAGAGTGAACACTTCCAAACGCACGGCCTAAGAAAAGTGTGGTAGCGTGATGATCTGTGACAGGCAGCCTTCTGGGGAAGTGGAAGCTTAGCACGTTCTCTGGTTGCTTCTTACATTAGTGAAGAGTCTAAAAATTACTGCCCTTGTGAGGTTAGAATTCTGCAGAATCAAATAGTGCTTCAATCTCATTGTTCTTTGCAAACAGCTTTTCTCAAAGCTCTGATCAGAGTCAGGCAACTTGGGCTATCGTTCTGATGCCTTGAGACCCGGGGCACAGTCCTTTCCCTCTCAGGGCATCTCTGGTGGCCCCTGCACAGCTGACATCCCACAGGAAACCCTGGGGCACCCCAGGAGATGCTGCCAGCCCTGCCATTCCCTGACTTAAATGGCCTCGTCCGTATTTACTGAATTCTCCCATTCTGAGACTCAAGCTTTCTATCTCCCTCTTTGAGAATAAAGAATCCCATGGTGGGCTTCCCTGGTGGTGCAGTGGTTGAGAGTCCGCCTGCCGATGCAGGGGACACGGGTTCGTGCCCCGGCCTGGAAGGATCCCACATGCCGCGGAGCGGATGAGCCTGTGAGCCATGGCCGCTGAGCCTGCGCGTCCAGAGCCTGTGCTCCGCAATGGGAGAGGCCACAACAGTGAGAGGCCCACATACCGCAAAAAAAAAAAAAAAAAAAAAAAAAAAGAATCCCATGTAATAACTGTAAATGGAAAGTAACCTTGAAAAATTGTACAAATGTAAAATATTTTTAAAAGATTAAAAAAATGTAAATCCAAGGGTAGTTACTTCTTTCTGAAATTAACTGGGGTGTAATAGAACTAGTGACTACGTACAATAAAAATGTTCAAAATTTGAAAAAAAGAAGAATCTCAATGTCTGTCAGTTTATATTCTTGGTTCACTTTCCTTTCAATCATTTTCATAACTGAGCACAGGGTCTTCATCTTCTCCACATCCTTTCTCAGATTTAGAAACTTGACTTGAACTTTGGACCAGCTGTTGTAATAAATGTCCCCTAGCAGAGCCCCTATGGTGGGCCACCCTGGGCCCCCTTCCCCTCATCCCCACAGCCAGTGCCCTTAGCGAGTCCCATGAGCTCTTCCTAAAGCATCCTGAATCCAGTGCCTTCTTGCCATTCACGATCCCCCCATCGCTACCCATCCAAGCTGCCATCTCTCCTGGGTGCTACCATGGTATCCACCTGCTGACCAGTCTCCAGCATCCTCTCTTCCCTCCTGACAGTCCTGTCCCCACTCAGAAGCCAGAGTGCTCCTTACATAAACATAAATTGGGACTTTCCAGTTCACTCGGTCATTCAACAAACATTTATTGAGCACCTACTATGTGCCAGGCCCTGGTATAGGCTTGGGGGATACACGTGGAACAAAACAAGTGAAAGTTTGTTCTTGTGGAAGGAAGAAAGATAAGTAAACACTAGTATGTCAGATGTTGGTCAGTGCAAAGGAGAAAAGTGAAGCAGAGAAATGGGGCAGGAAGTGCTGGTGAGGATGGGCGGTGGAGGGGGTGTGGTTTGCAATCTCCAAAGCGGGTCAGGGAAGGTCTGGCTGGGGAGCTGAAGATGTGATGGAGTAAACCATGTGGGTAACTGTGGTAAAAGAGTTCCAGCACAGAGACCAGCAAGTGCAAAGGCCCTGGGGCAGCAGTGTGTGCTGTGTGCATAAGGGCCAGCAAGAAGGCCACCGTGGCCAGAGCCGGGTGAGGGAGAGGAAGAAGAGTGCATAAGGAGGTTGGGGAGACAAAGGGAGAGATGTAGCCAGATCAGGCCCTGTAGGTGCCATAACGCCTTTTGGCTTATATTCTAACTGGTATGGGAGCCATAGCAGGTTCTTGAGCAGAGTAGGGATGTGAGCTGACTTGTTTTGACAGACTCACTGGCTGCTGTGAGTTTAGGTTGAAGGAGGTCAAAGCTGGAAGTGGGAGACGCACTGGGGTGAGATGTGACCCAAACCGGGGTGGTGATATTGGAGGTATAAGAAGTGTTAAGAGTCTGCCTCTATTTTGAAAGTAGAGCCAATAGGATGTGCAGCTGCTGTTGGGCATAGGGTGTGAGAAAGGAATCGGAAAGGATTTTGCTACAGAAACCCCTAAATGGCTTCCCATTGACTTGGGATAAATTCTTGACTCCTTTTCCAGGTCTGATATGCACCGGCCCCAGCTGGCTTCCCTGACTACTCCATCTGCCCATGCCACTCCTTGGTGGTAGCTCAAACGTCCCTACCTCTCTAAGTAAGAATTTCCCCAGACATTGCAGCGCAACACGCTTCATGTTTTGGGGCCTTCCTTGGTCTGTTAATGGTGTTTTGGTTTGTTTGTTTTGGTTTTAAATTTATCTATCTTCTTTTTGTTTTTGTTTGTCTCCTTCCCTACAATATAAACGCCATGGGCCAGAAACATTCTGCCTGACCACTTGCTTTGTAAAGTTGTCATGAACACGTGAAGAATGCCTGCACCCATGTAGTACCGGCTTATTCATGTGAGTTGCCTATAGTTGTCTCAGCACCTGCAAGGTAAGCATTGTTCTCACTGTTCTATAAGGGAGGAAAGTCTGCCCAGAGAGGTTATATTTGGACCTACCCAAGGGCACACCTAGTTCTAGGAAGCCACAGAAGCAAAGTTTGAACTTGGGCCTATGGGTTCCAGAGCTTGTGCTGCCCCTTTCCAGGCCTTCCCGTGCTCTGAGGGTTCAGTGGCTGAACTTGATGCTTAGGTGGGCACGGCGGAGGGGGGGGATGGGTCGGGGGTGACCGGGCTTGTTGAATGATCAAAGGTGAGGTCTGCCATCCTAGAGGCCGCCTACAAGCATATTTGGAAGAACAACGTGTCTACCGCTCGGCCTTCGAGTACCATAATTAACGTCTAGGGTACACATTTAGTTTAAAAATAAAACCTCAACCCCCCACCCCGTCCCACCCCACTTCCCAGCCCGTGCAGCCCCCACCTGACTCCATCACCCGCCTCTGTCCCTGCCCTGCACCGACTCGCGGTCGCCCTCCCCAGTGTGAACAGGTGTCGCAGGGCCGCCCCCGACTGGACCCCGGCCGGGGTGGCTGCGGTCGCGGAAAAGCGCACGCACCTGGCTCGGGGCCCCTGGCTTCCAGCCCAGAAACTGCCTCACTGTGTGCTCTCGGGCAACCCCCTTCGCACGCTCCGCCCCCGTGCCTTAGTTTCCCCAACGGTCAAGCCCGGTCCCGGCAGCTCTACAGGTAACACACCTGCTTCCGGGACTTGATCGGCCCCCGGGCCCCGCGGGGTGCAAACCCGGCGCCCGACCCCGCGCCCCCGCGGAGCCCCGGCGGCCGGCCCCAGGGGGCCGGGGCCCCAGGCAGAGCCGCGGGGACCTCGTGCGGCGGCCGCCTCGCAGCGGGCCGGCTCCGGGGGGCGCCCGCTGGAGGGCGCGGCCGGCGCGTGGGGCGCGGGAGGACGGCGGCGGCGGCGGCGGCGGGGGGCGGAGACGCGGAGCGGCTTCCGCTCCCGCGCCTCCTGCCTCCTCCCCCGTCGTCCTGGTCCGCGGCGCCCGAGGGGGGAGGCGGCAGGCGCCCGGAGCCGCGCGAGGAGCCGCGGCCGCCGCGCCATGGAGCCCGAGTGAGCGCGGCGCGGGCCCGTCCGGCTCCGGACAACATGGAGGCGGCGCCGCCCCGGCCTCGGCCGCCGCCGCTGCTGCTGCTGCTCGCGCTCTGCTGCAGCCTGGCCCCCGCCGCGGGTAGGTGGGCGCGGGCCGGAGGGACAATGGCCCGGCCGCCCGGGCGGCTCGGCCGCCCCGCGGCCAAGTGCGCGGCGCCGCCTCGGAAGCGACTTTGGAAGTTGGGGGCGAGTTGGGGCGCGCGCCGCGGGTCCCCGCCGCCCCCCTGCCGCGCCCGCTGCCCGGGGGCTGCGCGCGGGCCCTTTGTCTAGCCCGCCCGAGCCCCTCCCGGGGAAGCCGGGTCCAGTCCCGCGTCCCTGGCCGGCGAGGAGGGCGCGCGGGCGGCGTCGACCCCGCCAGGTGCGGCGCGGGCGGGTCCTCACCTGCCCGGCCCCCGGGGCGCGCTCGGAAGTGCGCCCGCCCGAAGCCCGCCGGCCGAGGCCGTGCGGGGACCGGGGGGGACCCCGGCCCGCGGGCACGCACGGAGCGGGGACTTTCGGCCCGGAGGCAGGCCTTGCCGCCCTGTGTCGGGAACTCCTTCCCGACCCTGTTTCCGATGGCCGCGCGGCCGGCCTGCGAGCTCCGGGAACTGATTTAAATTGCAGAGAAAGTTCTGAACCGGGCGCCGGGCGGCCTGGCCTGTGGCGCTACCCCTTGCACCTGAGTTGCTGTCGGTTTCCAAACGGACTGACACCTGCCAGGTGCCCGGACGACCCGTCTGGCCGCTGGGGCCCCAAACAGTGACACCCGGCCGGTGTCCACCCCGGGCGCCGGCTGCGTGGGGCCGCCTCGGGGTGACGTGGTCCCAGCGCGCGGCGTGGGGCCTCAGCTGGACACCCAACCTTTGGGAGAGCGGGGACTGGAGACCTTTCTCTCCAACTTTTGGTGTGTCCCAAGGGGTGGAGTTGAGGTCAGGAGGACTCAGGAAACGAAGCGCCTTGTGAAAAGCTACACATGTTCTTTTAATTTGGAGATTGCCATGTGGTTTTTGAAGCAAGCCTCTCGCTACCTAAATCATTCTCTTCCGACGTGAGTGTTTTGTTTTTCTGGAGTGTGGCTGGCCAAGTGGACACGGGAGTGCGAGTCCTGTGCTCTCCAGGCTGCTGTTCTGCTGCGGGCAGTTGCGGGTGGGTGGGGGGCGGCTCCGGTCCCTTTGTCTGGGCCTTTTTAAGGCAAACAGCTGTCTCCCTGAATATTTCCAGTGTGGACACTGCAGGGAGGTGTCCTGGCCTGGCTCTGTGGTCACATTCCCAGCGCTGCGGCCCCTCCATTGAGGTTTGGGGAGCGGAGAGGGGGTAGTTTCCTCAAGTCCTCTCCCCTCCCAGCCCAAGCCCGGAGACTCTTGACCGTTTCACCCCAAATTTGCCTGTGTCTCGGGAGCGTGTTTACATTCTTGGCCCTGTCTGATACGAGCAAAACAAGGTGACGACAAAACAATGACAGTATCTGGGTAGTTCAGGCCAACCCTGCTCCTTCTCTTTCCGGAAATGCCTGGATCACGGAGGCAAAAGGGTTTTTTTTGGGAAGATGTTTGTTTTAAAGGTGGGGTTTCTCAGCCGGCTGCGTTGCTGTTCACTGTGTTGCAGTCTTGGATTTCCTGGACCTTTGGGGTGATGTTGCTGGGCTCCAGTGCCTGTCCTGCGGTTCGAGCCCCCAAGGAGAAGGAATCACATCTGTGGAGTTCAGTTGTGCAGGAGGCAGAAACAGACTCGATTATTTTAACGTTAGAAAGCATGTCGACGCGAGGTTTTTAGAGCACCGGCTGATGTGGAAATCTGGTCCTGAAATGGGACGAAAAGGAGGGATCTTGCTGCAGAACTCTTTTGACTGTTCTTGACATGTCATGTCCCTGATCTCTGTGTTAGATTTATGCCACAGTCCGGAGTGGAGCCAGTAAGTTGGTAGCTAATTATTTTTCCTGATTGCTTCCTGTTGCCATTTGAAGCGGTGAGCCCACGGAAATGCCTTTGTTCTAGTGGTCCCGGTGCTGGGAATGGCCTGCCCCAGCCCCACGGCTCAGGCCTCTCCCTTTTAGCCCCACAGAACTTGCTCCAGGACTGCCCCCTGGGTGGTTACTGCAGATGCTTACTGCCTGGCCCACGGGGAGGGCCCGGCAGGTGGGTACTGAGTTAACTAATTGCTGCGGAGAGTCCGCTGAGAGTTCCCCTAAAGGACCCTCTGCTTCCCAAAGCAGGGCCCACGTGCCTTGAACCCTCCCGTTCAGTTCCAAGAATTTACCCAGTGTGCCCACATGATCCAGCATTTGCTGTGGAGATCCCGTCATATTTGGAACCCGTTTAATTTCAGCTGCACTGTGTCACCGCTCAGGCATTTAGCAGAATTTGCACACGGGATGGGGGTGTGTGCAGTTAGGTGAGGACTCAGCGTGCCTTCCTGCCCCACAGCTTGGGCTTGCCAGGGCCGAGGGCGGGGGCTTTGGGGTCAGACCACTTGGGTCGAGAGGCTCAGTACCTGTTTGACTTGGGACACCTTACTTAGCTTCTTTGTATTCTGTGTCCTCACCTGGTCCCCCCACCCCCCAGCCAACATGGTCCGGAACGTTAAATGCTGCCTGGGAAACCCTTAGCACCATTCCTGGCCCGGGTGAGGAACCGGTGGTGGCAGAGCTGCAGTGCCTGTTGTGTAATGGGGTCCTTGATCTTTCTGCCTGGAAGGTCTAGAAGCTATTATCACACAGTCCGGATTTTTCTACTGTGTGGGACCTTGGACCTCTAGCCCGCTGTCTCACTTGTTTATCGCTGCAGCACTGGGTGAGGGTTCTTGTGGTGGTTAACAGTGTGGGCAGAGCCTCGCTTGTCGGGGGAGCTTGGGCAGCTGACTCCACCTTTGTGTACCCTAGTTTTCTTTTCTGTAAAATGGGTATAACAATACTTCCTCCCAATAGTTCAGTGAGTTGACGCGTGCCTGTATCAGGTCTTATTATTGTTGCTGCTACTCTTGGTGCCTGGTGAAGCCCTGGGGAGAGGATGGGACGGAATGGCAGAGGAGGCCCGGGCCTTCGCTGTCGGGGTGTCCGGTTGATGGAAAGGCAAACAGAAGCTGACTGTGCAGCTCTGGGAGAGGTGGGCTCAGTCCCAGAGCCCTGTCCTCGAGAACTGGCGGGTCTCTGCTGAAAGAGGCCGGATCGCGCTGCAGAGTCTGGACATGGTCCAGAGAGCGATGGAAGCTTCCGGAGACTTTAATTGGAGGAGGGGGATAGGAAACGCAGGGGAAACGTGTTGAATTGATTTTTTTTTTTTTTAAATTGAGGTGAAAATCACGTAACATAAAATGAACCATTTTAAAGTATACCATTCAGTGGCATGGAGTACGTTCACAACGCTGTGAAAGTTCCCCTTCTGTCAAGATAAAAACATTTCCATCACCCCAGAGTAAAACCCTGTACCCACTAAACCATAACTTCAACGACTTCCCATCCGCCGATCCCACGAATCGGGGTCTCTGTGGACTTGCGTGTTCCGGACGCTTCGTGTACAGGGAGTCATAGGCTGTGGACAGGGAGTCATAGGCTGTGCTGCCTTCTGCGTCTGGCTTATCGAGCGGGATGCTTTCGAGGTGCGTCCACGCTGTAGCACTTGTCACTGCTCCGCTCCTTTCACGGCTGAACAGCCTTCCGTCACGTGGAGAGAGCACATTTGCTCATCCGTCCACCTGCTGATGGGTTGACCTTGCTTGAGTACTTCTCCCAGTGGGCACGGGATGGGAGCCGGTTGTCCTTGCGGGGTTTGGACAGTGGAGGCTGTTTAAAGCTGGGCCGGGGACGTGAGCAAATTAGCTTCAGAGCTGGGAGAGCCGGGCCAGGGGACAAGCTAAGGGCCCAGGGCTGGCCTCTGGCAGGGGAGGGGCGCTGGGAGGTGGACTTAATGCCATGTTCATAATTACAGAAGCCCTGGGAGGAACTGGACATCTGCGGTTTAGGAGGCCTCTGGGCTGGTCACTTACCACGCTCTCAGAATGGGGAGCCTCTGACGGAAGCAGGGGGCCACGTGCAGCCCCTTCCCCTGCTGGGCCTGGGACACATTTGTGCAGGAAGCAGTGACCTCTCTGCTCTGCAGGCATCCTGGTGACAGAGTGGTTCCAAGCGCTGCTGACAGCTGTGGGCGGCAGAGGCACAAAGAGCCGGCCCCCTGGGCCCACCCGCCGCTGCGGGCTGCTCTCTGCTTTCTCTTCAGCTCAGGAAGTGGTGGTCTGCTAACTCTTGGCCTCAGTTTCCTCATCCACAAAATGGGGACGATGGCGTGTACCTTGCAGGGTGCTGGCTGGGGTTCAGTGAGGAGGAAGCTGAGGCGGGCCATCATGGGAAGGACGTGGTGGCAGGGGGAGTCCTGCCCTAGGCGGCCGTTTCCTTTTAAAAGAGTCCGAGGGTCAGAGTCCCAGACCCCATCTTCCAGTGGGGGACTGGGAGAGGGGAGGGGTGTTGTGGGCGTGTTGACCTCAGGCTCCAGCAGTGGTGGCAGCTGCCTGGGGCTGGAACCTCAGGGTCTGATCGTATCTGTGCCCAGGGTCACATGTCCGCTGTCCTCTGTCCCCCTGACTCAGGATCTCTTTTGCCCAGGACCTTGGGAAGTTGTCCTGGTGACATCGCCTGTGAGCCCTTTTGCAGGGCTGGGAGATACTGTACTTGCTGGGTATTTTCTTATTTTCTTGGTTGGTATTTGATTCAATGTAGATTTTTTTCAGTGCTTTCAGTTTGCCTGCATGTAGTTTTTCTAGTGGTTAAACTGAAGCCAGGAGGTGCCTCATCTGCCCACCCCCGGGCCCCACTGCCCTTTCTCTGCTGGGCCTGGGCCGTGTGGCTTCCCCGAAGGCCCAGCCGGCTCCACCCTTACCCCTCTGGGACCCTGCACTCTCAGGTCTGGAGTGTGGCCTCCTGAGGCTGTGGCAGGCCCCAGCTCTGCCATCCCGGCCTGCTTTTTCCCACCCTTAAGTATACAATTTAAGAGCGGCATTAATTACAGTCACAATGTTGTGTGACTGTCACCACCATCTGTTTCCAAACAAAATTTTTAGCACCCCAAACAGAAACCGTATCCATTAAGCAGTCACTCCCCAGTTCTCAC